TACCTTAATTAACCACAGAGACTGTCTACACCTACTCAACCTCTCCTTTCCAAATATCAGTGGCTAGGCCAGACACAGTGGCTCATGCCTATAATCCCAGCACTTTGGGAGGCTGAGGCAGGAGGATTCCTTGAGGCCAAGAGCTCAAGATCCGCCATCAAAACCCCATCTCTAAAAAAAAACTGGCTGAGCATAGCGGCACATGCCTATAATCCCAGCTACTCAGGAGGCTGAAGCAGGAGCATTCATATTTAAATTCTAGGGGACTTATAAAATACTAAAACTAAGGCTAAGTATTGGCTGGGGTGCTGGGGTGAGCTGTTTTGCCTACCCACACTCTCCTAATTCAGTCTTGTATCTCACCCTTGGTCACTCTAGGTCACTGTTGTGTCTTCCCTCATCCCCCCTCAGGTGTCCTCTGGCCCTTTGGTTGTCTACACCACATCCATGCTGCTTTTGGGTAAATGAAGAAGGAGATGTAGGCTGAATTAAGCCAGGATCACACCACTGCATTCCAGCCTGGGCAACAGAGTGAGACGTCATCTCTAAAACAACAACAACAAAAACAAAAAATCATCTTTACTTTGGGCAGAGGTCCACTGTTAACTTTCTTCGGCCTCCTGACCCCTGCATACAACATGCTCAAGGAATAGGAGATTGATTGTTATCTAATTAACCAAAATTCAACTAGTGAAACGAAATTATGTATCATTTATCATAGAGTGATGGGCTGAGCGATGACCAGGATTTTTATCTTGGAAATAAAAAGTTATTGATTGCCTGCATGGTTGCACTTTCAGATATCTCCAATTTTGAAAGCTCACCTCAGGTGGTAATAAGAACATCTGCCCCTCCCCAGACATTTAATTTCCCAAAAAGAACACCGGCCATGCTTCTTTCACACACATGGGTGTGTTTATTTCAGGGCCTGAGAGAAGGCTGAAATTTCAGCTTATTATACCAAAAATATGAAAATAAAACTGATCTCTCTAGGATCGTATTAAATGAAAACAGCTTCTTAGAGGCAACTGGAGGAAGCAAACTGATTGAAAGAGAGGACAGGGCTCTGGGCAGGAAGGGTGACAGAGAAAGGATGCAGAGTGGGAGGCAGCACCTAGGACTTCTTTAGAAATAGATGCAAGCCCACAAAAATCCCATGTGGTCCAGATTAGCTGTGCAGTGATATCTTCCTCACGTTCTTCTGTCAGGTCCCCAAATCACTGTGTAACACCATAGCTAATGAGCACACTCTTCCCTGATTCCTACTTGGCTGGTACCAGACCCAGTCACACCCATGGAAACCCTGCCAGTCAAACGTGACTGGGTAGGGGAATCACCTGGGCAGCTCAGCTTGTAAGAAAGGCAAATCAGGGGGCTGCATCCCCAGGCACTTTTGAGCAGTATTATCACAGACTGGGAAACTCCAAACAACAGAATTCAACTGTTGCACAAGTCCAAAATTAAGGTCTTGGTAGGGCCATGTTCCCCAGTGAGGCTCTAGGGGAGGGTTCTTCCTTGCCTCCTCCTAGTAAATTCCCTCTACGCTTATCCACTTTGGTTTCCTGTGGCTGCTTGTTATGGTTTGGCTCTATGTCCCCACCCAAATCTTACTTTGAATTGTACTCCTGTAACTCCCACGTGTTTTGGGAGGGAGGGAGCTGATGGGAGATAATTGAATCGTGGGGGCAGTTCCTCCATGATGTTCTTATGATTAAGTCTCAAGGGATCTGATGGTTTTATAAAGAGGAGTTCCCCTGCACAAGCTCTCTCTCTTCACCTGCTGACATCCACGTAAGATGTGACTTGCTCCTCCTTGCCTTCCACCATGATTGTGAAGCCTCCCCAGCCACATGGAACCATAAGCCTATTAAACCTCTCTTTTATAAATTGTCCAGTCTGGGGTATGTCTTTATCAGTAGCATGAAAAGGGACTAATACACTACTGTAACAAACGATCACAAATGGGCTGGCTTAAAACAACAAGAGTATTTGCTTACATGATTGATAGAGGCCAGAAGTCCAAAATCAAGGTGTCAGCAGTTGGTTTTATTCTGGGGACTTTGAGGGACAATCTGCCTCTTCCAGTTCCAGGGGCTGCCAGTGACCCTTGGCATGCCTTGGCACGTGGCTGCATCACTCTAATCTCTGCCTCTGTCTTCACATGGTCTCTTTCACGCATCCCCATCTTCCCGTAGCCTGCTCCCTTGTGTGTCTGTGCCTTAAATCTCTCTGTCCTCTCTCTTCTAAGACACCAGTCATTAGATTTAGGACCTACCCTAAATCTAGGGTGATCCCATCAAAAGATCCTTAACTTGATTATATCTGCAAAAGCCCTATTTCCAAATACAGTCACATTCGCAGCTACTAGGGTTAGGTCTCAGGCGCATCTATGGTGGGGGGTACACAATTCAGCTCATTACAATAAATTTGGGAGAGACCCATAAACTTGAATTTTTCACAGGTACCCTGATGTGGGTGATCTGTAGGCCATACTCTGAGAAACACTGATCCAGTTGCTGGGGACTCAAAGTTGAACCAGATATGGTCCCCTTCCTTGGGGAGCCTGCCACCCAGCAGAAGATACAGGCAGATGAGCAATGATTACAACAGAAAGTGTGGCCTAGCGAGGCTCAGACAAGCAAGGCTCAAGCAAGGAGTCAGACAGACCAGGATTCAAGTCCTGCCTCTTCCACTTACCAGATGTGAGGGTCTGAGCAAGTTCCTTAGCCTGTCTGAGCCACTGTTTCCTTATCTGTAAAATAAGAAAGAATTCCTGCACTACGTCATTGTGAGTACAAGGCCATGTAAAATGTTTCACATGAACAATACACTCAAGAAACAGTCATTGGTTATTAAGGTGGGAAGTAAGTTAGACCCATTTTCATCCCCCTCATGGCCACTGGCTATGTGCTCACCTCATGTTCGTGGAAGTTAAGGAGGTGTTACTCTGGAAAAACTCTGCTGGAATGGGCAGGAAAACTCCTGAAGGACCTAATTCAGGATTCACTGACTTATTCAACAAGCATTTATTGAGCACCTGCTGCATACAGAGTGCAGTGTATAGGCCCTTGAAACAAAGAGTCAAACAAAGCACACAGCCTGGTGAGGAAACCCATTGGTACAATAATGCAGTCAGCGCAAAGTGGGGGAAAGCCCAGCCCACTGAGGGACATCCCATGCCATGTAGCTCTTGAAGACATTCCATCCTTTAGTATGCTCACGCTCTTATTGTCTATGGTATGACCTTCCTCCCAGACTATATCATGAAAGCCCCAGGAGATCTTTGAGGGTAGGGGAATTCTTTATCTTATGCATCACTGAATCCCAATCCCAAGCATCTAACAATGTACCTAACTCCTAACAGGCATCTGATAGGCAATCGTTGTAGTGACAATTCTAATGCGATTTAAGAGCCTAACACTGGACTTCTAAGGGAGAACTACCTCCAGCCTCCCTGACTACTAAGTATCTTGATGGGCCCAGAAACAAAGTCCCCAGAGGATCTGTCCCTTGACTTAAAGCCTGACAGTTTGAGAAGATAGAGCCAGGCTGCAATACACTGGATCATAACACCAGACAGGAGAGCTTTCAAGTACTAGACCAATGCTGGGCAAACTAAACTAGGGCAGAAGCTACCGCTTGTCATTCCTCTTCAGAAACACAAGGCTCTGCACACACTGGGCATGAAGCACTATTATCAGACTGACCTGGAGACCCAGAAAACGATGAAAGGAGTGAGACAGTAGAGGGTTTCCCTTCTCATACCCCACAAGGGAAGGAAAAGAGCAAACCCATACATTCCGCATGGAGTGCATAGGAGTAAAGAAAAGGAAGCCCCGGCCGGGCGCGGTGGCTCACGCCTGTAATCCCAGCACTTTGGGAGGCTGAGTTGAGTGGATCACCTGAAGTCAGGAATTTGAGACCAGCCTGGTCAACAGCGTGAAACCCCATCTCTACTAAAAATACACAAATTGGCCAGGCGTGGTGACGCGCGCCTGTAATCCTAGCTACTTGGGAGGCTGAGGCACGAGAATCGCTTGAACCTGGGAGGCGCAGCTGAGATCGCGCCACTGCGCACTCCAGCCTGGTTGACAGAATGAGACGTCTCAAAAAAAAAAAAAAAAAAAAGGGAAAAGGAGCCTTGGGCTGGAGCTTGGTTCTCAGAAGGGAGAAATTCCCCAGTATGGCTAAGTAACACCGGGAACTGCCAGCACAAATGGTGGCAAATCAGGGCAGATTACCTGTGAGAGGGAGACATCCGCATTCCCTCTCACCTGGAGAGGCCAGCAGCTTCTCCTGGTCAGCAAAACTCTTAGTGGGGACTAAAGAGCAAACAGCACAGGAGCCTGAAAGTGGACCCCCCGCGTATGTTTATGACAAAAGAGTCGCGGGGCAGGGGACACGGTGTTCTGTGCTTCCATAAATCGAATCACTTCTGCACCTGTGTTTCACTTTTTTGATAAATGCCCCTCCCCACCTTACACATGGTAGGCCCGCAGTAAACACGTGTTGACTGGATTGAGCTAGTGAATCAGTGAACGGCTTCGGGGGACCCCCGAAGTCCCCCAACTCGAACCACCACCGCCGCAGAGAATTCCACCTGGCCCAGGTGCCACCCCAGGGCTCGGATTCTCCCCCATGGCACCACCTTTCCACTTCAGTCCCAGGCGTCCAATCGCTTGGCTCCACAACAGTGGCGAGCGGGCAGGCAGGTGGGGCTTGGCACCTTCTCCTCCCGGATCCCAGGGCTGCAGCCTCCAATGCAGGGCTAACCCCTGCCGGGGGGAAGGGCCCTCCCCAAAGGCTGACACCAGATGGCGCGGAAGAAAGTGGCGCCCGCGCAGACCCGAGTGCGGGAGGAGCGGCCACCTGGCGGGGTCGCGCGGGGGCTGCAGCCGCGGCCACGGGGGATGCGCGCCCCCCGCTCGTCCCTCCCGCCTGGGCCTCTCCGGGGGCGCGGGCCCGGGGCCCATCCCTCCTGGCCGGCGCCGCGGCCTCACCTCGCTCACCAGCCCCTGCCAGTCGCTCTCGGTCCGGTCGCCGTTCATGGCCTCCTCCTCCATGCGCCGGCCGGCCTCACGGACCCCCGCCTCCTCCTCCTCCTCCTCCTCCTCGCGGCGTCGCGCCGCCGCCTCCCGGGCCCCGCGCGGCCCTGAGAGGGCCCGGAGCCTCCGAGCCGCCGCGCCGCCGCCTCCCTCGGCCGCCCGCGCTGTTGACTCCACGTCAGCCTCCGCGGGAGGAAAGGGAGGAGGGGCGCGGCCGCCGGGGCCGCAGACACAGCCCGGGCCGCAGCCGAGCCCCGCTGGCCCGCCCCGCGCCCTCCGCCCGGCGACCCCGGGCTCCGGGACCCCCTGCCTGGCCTCTAGGCAAACGGAGGCCGGGGTCTCAGCCCACAGGTCCCTCGGGACCCCTCAGCGCTCTCCGCACAGAAGATGGGACCCACGGACCGGCCTGTGTCCTGCGCAAGAAGCACATCCCCAAATCCAGCCCTTCCGTGACCACCATCCCGACTCTCGCCCCTAGAATGTAAGCTCCCCGAGGGCAGGGGCTTCCTTGGTTCGCTGATGGCATGATCCTGGCACGTAGGAGATGCTCTACAAATATTTGTTGAACGCAAGAATGAATGAACCACATATTATTGTATACTTAGCACTATTTTTTAAACTGTTAATGTTTGCTTGTATCTATTTTTTTTAACGTATCAGCTATCATAAATAGAAAGCAAATGTAAACACTGAAAATAAAGCATTCAATTCTAAATTGGGCCAAAAACTCTGAGGGGGGTGGTTAGCATGGCTTGAGAGAGGTGTTAAAGACAAGCTGGCATTGGTGGTATCCCATGGCTCATGCCTGTAATCCCAACACCTTGGGAGGCTGAGGTAGGAGGATCCTTTCAGGACAGGAGTTCAAGACCAGCCTGGGCAACAAAGCGAAACACCCCCTTTCTACAAAAAATAAAATAATTAGCAAAAAGAAAAGACATTGGCATTAAGCTGAGACTTCTACTAAGAGGAAGGACTGAAAGAGAATGACAGAGGAAAGTTGAATCTCACACGTAAGTCAGTCTTATCCAAGGTGGTGTTCCTGTGACACCTAAAATCCCCCCATGGACCACCACCTATGGTGAGCCCTCTGTACTCCCAGAAACACTATGCATGGAGATGAGCAAGAAGGTTGAGAAGTCGTGAACCCATTGTACAGTTGTGGAAGCATCATAGACAACATTTATTTATAGTTTCACCCCTGTTGATTCTGGATCAACTTTGTGAAATGAATGTTATCCCCATTTATCAGATAAGAAAACTGAGGCATGAAACATGGAGAAACAGGGACTCAACTAGGACTTCTGGCTCCAGCATCTTGGAAATCTAAGGATGACGTATCACGTTGGAAGTCTGTTCTTGGCCTTATTTTGCACATGATAGATTGTTTGCAAAATGGTAGCAGTCATTCCCCTTCTTTGTTCATTGCCTTGCCACTGTCTCACTCTGTTCTCAGTCATGTGACTTGCTTTGGCCAAAGCAACATTTGTACATATGTTACCAGAAAAAAAGGCTTGTAAAGCACTTGTGCAGTGGGACTTACTCTTGCTTCTGCCCTTGGCAACCTGTGATCACCACCATGTACACAAGCTCAGAATAGCTTGCTGGATAAGATAGGACTCCCAACCAACAGCCAACAATCACTAGATGCGTGAGTGAGACCATTGAACACCCCCCCCACAGCTGACGACAAGCACATGAGTGAGCCCAGCTGAGGCCGACAGAAGAACCACCCAGCTGAGCCTTCCTCAATTAGCTGACTCATAGCATCACATACTAAATAAGTAGTTGTAGTTTAAGCCACTAAGTTTTAGGGCAATTTGCTAGGTATCAAAATGGATGGTGACACAACTGATGAAAGGCCTGAATGGCTTGAACTCTCCCTGGCAGCCCTTCAAAAAGCAACAGTCCCTGACATCATAATCTAAAGAAGATTCTATAACAAACTGGCTGGCCAGGCTCTAAGAAAAGGAACCAGTGTACTAGTCAGCACGTTGGTTTTCTGCCTGTTGCATACAACTGCAGCACTCATCCTGGGGAAGTTCAATAAAATTGCACACCATGGTCCCTGTCCTAGGGGGCTTGCAAACTAATGCTCTAGAGAACAGAAGGAAAAAAGGCCAGGGCAGGGGGCAGGGGCTAGAATGCAGCTAAAGCTTCTGGTCTTCTGACCATTCGGGACTGCCTAACTCATTATCTTTTGAATCCAAGGAGGTAGAAAGAAGGTCATCCTTGAACTGAATGTCTGGAGTTAATTAACTCAGTGCCAAGCACTTGTTCCTAAGCCTGACGTCTTATGCCTAAAAAGCAAGGTACTGTCCGCCAATATATTGCCCTTTGGCAAGCCATCTGGTTTCATCCTGACCTGTGGATGAAATAGACTGTAGGAAAAGTGGGCAGAACTTGGTCCATCTGCCTTTCAAGCTTCCTTGTCTGCACCTTGCTCTCTGCCTGAGTTCAGGTGGGAAAGCCCATTCCAGTTTCCACATTTAACTGATCCCTTCATGATGTACCACTGTTCCTTTGGCGCCCTCACTGGTATTTCAGGCAGCAGGACAGACAATGAGCCATTGAGAGCCAAGAAATCTTCACATTCCAGACTATGTACCTTTAAGAGTACTCTCCCTATGACTCCATTTCCCCTATTTGCTTTCCTTCTCTGAAATAAGTGAGACAGTTATTAAGGTATTTAAAAATAAAGCTGGGGAGGAAAATCAAAGTGTGGCAAACCTCTACCCTCCCCAGCATATGGAGAAACTTTCAGCTCAGTTGAAACGGCTTCTCTAGCTGCCTGGGTTTTCCTTAGAGGTTTCATGCCCCAAGTGCCAGCTCAAACCTGCTTTGCTTGTGAGATGTGATGAAATCACAAACCAAGGCAATGTAGCTGCAAGCAATTCTTTTTTATCTCTTTTCATTTATGTAGCCTGACATTGAGTAATAATAATAATTAAATGCAGTTTAAGCTTTTAGGCACCTATACCAGAAGGCCTCTAGATACCTCATCAACAGCAGCCCAGATTGACAAAAAGAGAGCTAATTATTTTGTGGTTAACTTTTTTCAAAGAAAAAATAAACCCATACACCAACTATCTTTATCCCTATAAAAGCAGTACATTAAATGTCCCATCCGACAGTCCACTGGCACAAGACCACTTAAAAACCCGGTGCCCTTGTCTTAAATGTGCCACCCCGTTGCAAAGTATTGAAACGTTTGCTTTAGCCTCCATTTTCACATCCCCTTAGTTTTCTGAAAACTCATCTCCAGAGACCTAATTTTTCCGTATATATTCATAGCCCCAGGACCAGTTTTATTGATTTATTTATGTGCAACTATAGTGTTAGAAGAAAGTACTTAGATGCTTTTGAGTGATGCTTTTCACTTTTAAAAGTTTGAGAGGGTTTTAGATGCAGAAACTCCAAAATAGCTTAATCTAAAAACTTGAGCCAGCACAGACTGATGAAAACAAACAATCAAAATCTCTGGGGAGATTGGGAAAGAAAGCATGATTTGAACTTATTGTTAGCAACCTAAGCTCTCATTATGGGTTCTATACCGACTTGCACGAAGACTCTGACCAGGTCTCAGCAGCCCCAGACACGCGGGAAAGCCCTAAAGCTTTTGATGTGACTTCTCCAGACAGTATTTCAGTTCAAATGCTGGTTGCCCAAGCAAAATTCTGGCGGTTGGAGTTCTCATTAAAGGAAACTAAGCAAATCTCCAGTAGAGATTTTGGCCGGGCTTCTCTCTGAAGCCCGGCAATATCAGTTGGGGCAATATTCATGGCCATTTTTTTCCCCAGTGACTTTTCTCCTGCCTGAATTAAGAAACTCAATCTGGGCAGAAAATGATTCATAATGACTCTTGTTTATAATGGGGTGTGTGTGTGTGTGTGTGTATATACATATATTTATTAATCAGCTCTATATGAGCCAAGGTCCCCAATTTTTGCTCTTCTCAAGGCAGGGCCATTTTGACAGGTCCTGCCAGGAGCCCCTATAGCCTGGCTGCTGAACTACTTCCTTTGCTCTTGATTTTAAACAGGGTCAGGAGACTGTGGGTCCTGGTGTGTGCTGTAGCTAGGCCTCCTGCAGAGTCCTGAGACCTGAGGTCCCCTGAACCGCTGGCCTCAAATCTGTAGAAGATAAGCCTCTCTCTCCTCCCCCTACATAGAGGGCCTCTGGGAGGGACCTCATCTATCATTTCCCTACAGAGGGCCAGCAGCCAGACCCCAGAGGGGCAGATGGGAGATTCTGGCCAGGTTCCTGACTCAGGGCATCCTCTGTGTCTCTTAGACCCCCGAGCTCTCAGGTCCTCTCTCGGCCACCCCCCTACCAAGCCCTTCCTGCCCAGTGGCAAACAATCAGCACAAGCTGCTCCGCTCCAGCCCCGCTGGCTGCCAATCAGCCAGGCAGCAGGGGGTGGACGGAAGTTGCACTCCCTGCTAAACTGCCTCCCTCCTAGGCGCTCAAAATGACTGAGTGGGTCTGATGATGGCCTGGCAGGCCGGGGATGGCAATTGTCATCCTAAGGGGACACAGGCTTGGGTGTGATTGGCTTGAGCGTTGCGGGAGACAGGGGTTGGGAAGGAGTGGAAGCAGAAAGGCCACTCCTTGGTTGGTGGATGTGTTCCCAGAAGCAGGGCTGAGATGTCAGGAGGAAAGGAGGATGACCTGAAAGGAGCAGAGAGACAGAGGGAGAGGCAGGGCCTGGGGTGCCGGAGGAGAGGCCTGAAGATCAAGAACCACGGGAGGAGAGCTGAAAACCGTGGGCACCAGCTGGGTGGGGAGAAATCCAAACCCAGGCTGGAGGGGGAAGCGGATCGAGATGCAGCCCACGTAAGGAGTTAAATGGAAAAGAGACAGGAAAAGTCATCTGCTCTCAGATTATTCAAATTTGTTGTACTTATTGATAATGTATTTCATTTCTTCTGCGTGGGGGGGATATGATTCAGCACAAATTTGATGTAAATTTATGGAAATGAAAACACAGAGAGGCAGCAGGCCCCGTGCTGCCGGCGGGTTAGCAGCCTGGCCCTTGGCAAGGTGGAGGTTACTGCTCTCTGGACTTGGGGAGCTGAAAATAGAAACGTCTGACTTGGGGGCCACTGGCCTCTCCTG